CTCAGGCCGCAATGCCCGGGGCCGACGTCCGCCGGGGCGAAGGCTCACCCCCGCATCTCACCCACGGCGCAGCTTAGCTAGACAGCCCGCGCTGGATAAGTGGACCACCCGCCACCTTCTCGGGCCCGCCATTGGGGGGCCTCCCACTAGCACCCGAGATCTCACCCTCACTGGCCCTGCGGGGCCCGCCTGGCTCACGCCAAAAGGCCCCCCAGGCCCCCAGACTTCGCTGTCCGATGACGACAGCCGGCTCGCGGGCCCTGGGCGGGAGGTGGGCCCGAGCACCCCCCCGCCTGCCTGGCCGCGAGCTCGACCTCGCTAGGTGTCAGTTTTGTTACACCGCAGGCGCCCGAACACCAGCGGCGGTTAGCTGCGACCCTGGAGGAACTAACGCACACCTTCCCCACGCAGGTTCAGGCCTCCGCGTTGGCAGACCAGCCGTCAGCGTGGCAGGTTGCCCACTGTGGACCACGCCAACATCGGGCGAATATCTACCATCCGGAACTACTTGCATTTTAGCTCCGGTTAGCTGCGACCCTGGAGGATCCTCGAGAATGGCGGCCGTGTTCCCGGGACAGGCCTACCTGGTGCCAGTTCGAGGGGCGGTGATGTTCGTCCCCGTCGCCTCCCCCCTCGTACCGCTCTCGGGCCGGGCGGGCGCGCCCCCCGCCCTCGGCTTTCGGGGCGCGGTTCCTTGCGCTTCCCTCGCAGGGCGCCCCCGTGGTGCCCCTCCGCGGGGGTGGGCAGTCGCGTCTTCGGCTGCGTCCCCCCCCCGCCCCCCCCTCCGGGCCCCCGTCTGGCCGGGCTTCGCCAGGCGTGCCGGCGGGCCTCGATGGCTTCGCCCCCCTCCCCAGGACCCCAGCCGTCCGTGGCAGCGTCTCCTCACCTTCAGCGGCGGTTAGCTGCGACCCTGGAGGCCCACGTGGCATGGTGGAGTGACGGTGGCCCTGGTCTTCCGCGGGGAATGGCGGACGCGGCGGGCAAGACCGTCCCATGGTGGCCTGCGACACCACGCGGCTGCGACAGCGAAGCTGCACCCCGGACGCCCCGCCCGGCTGGCCATGGTCTCCCCTCCAGCCCTTATGCCGCACACGGCCCCTGGAGGTTCAGCCAGCTCCGAGTGGCCCAGCCTTCGCAGTTTCGGCCGCCCAGAACCCCCGCCGACAGCGGTTACTTTACCTCGCCTTCAGTGGCGGCTAGCTGCGACCCTGGACGCTCGCGTGGAATGACGGATTCGACGGAGACCCTTGTTCCCTGCGGGGAATGGCGGACTCGGCGGATAAGGCAGTCCCACGGTGGCTTTCGGCGTGCATCAGGCGGCAGCTGCTTTGCCCTCAGTGCAGCCCCCCCCTGGATCCCCCCTGCCTCGCTCGCGATGCTCACCGCGCCTGCAGGGCTTTCTCCTGCAGTCCACCTGCGTCGGCCCCGTGCCGTTGCTGGAGGGCCCGGCCCACTGGCGTCCGGGCCTCCCTCGGGCACTGGATGATGGCCCCCCTGGGTGCTGTGGTCGCGCCGGAGTGGTTTAGCCTTCTGCAGTCGCAACAGCACCCTGGCCCCATCCCCCTCTTCAGGCAGGTTTGCGACGTCCCTCGGCAGCTCGGCCCCCCTAGCCCGCACATGCCGTTGGGACGGCCAGGGCCTCAGGGCCTGGCGCCCCACTGGCGACTCGCCCATCGGTTTCCGCGCCTGAGCGCCCACCCAGCATGATGGACACGTCGGCACTCGTGCACGTCAACGTCGTCTTTGTGGGTTATGCCTCACGGCATGCACCGAATTTTTCGACATTTTGTCAGACTGCACGTGCCCGAGCTTCCCTGGATGCCCCCAGCTGTCAGCCTCCCACGCAGCCCCGCTGCGGCTTGGTGAGTGGGCTGGCCGGCTTGCGGCGCGTCTTGTAGCTAAGTCGCCGTGTTCGCAGCCCCAGACTATTGCTTTCGCCGCCTGCGCTCTTCGCTTGCGGCCGTGACCAAAAAGTATCCCCACAAGCCCGCTTTCTCTTTTCTCTTTTCGCTCCTCTTTCTCCCTGCGCGCGTAATTTAGGCCGTTGCTCGTGGGCTACACTCCTGGACGCCGCCCGACTTCTGTTGACGCGGTCCCGATCAGCAGTATCCCCACTAGCGTGTTTTTTTTTTTCTTCTTGCCCGCTGCGCGTAATTGAGGCCGCCGTTAGTTAGTTGCGCCTTCGGATGCCGCCCGACTGCTTTCGGTGCGGTCGCGATCAAAAAGTACCCCCAACAGCCCATTCGGAAACCCTGCAGACCAGAGTTGACGGGGAAGGGGACGAAAAGACACGTCTATTTCAACAAAGCGAGCAAGGATCTTTGGGAGCAAGGGGTGGCTTTGGAGGGCCTCTTCGGGCCATCCCTGGGGCCCGCGCAGGGGCGAAGGAAGGAGGAGGACGACGACCACGACGACGAGGAAAAGGAGGATGAGGAAACGGAAAACGATGAGGGCAAGGACGAGGAGGAGGAGGAGGAGGAGGAGGAGGAGGAGGAGAAGGAGGAGGAGAACAACGAGGGCGAGGACAGAGCCCTCAGAGTCGCCTCTCGAGTTCCTCTTGGGACTCGTTTCGGGGACCTCAGGGGCCTTTCGGGGCTCTTTTGGGGAGTCTTGGGGCTCTTGTGGGGCCCTCCTGGGGATCCCTTGGGAGCCCTGGAGGGCCTCTTAGGGCCATCTTGGAGATGATTGATCGAGTGGGGGTCCTAAATTGGCGACCCCCGTTGGGACCATCGCAATCGCCTCTTCGGGCCCTCTTCGAGGCGCTCTTTGGCAGCTCTTGGGCGCTCTTGGAGCCGTCTGGGGGGCCTCTTGGACACCTCATGCGCCTTTCTTGGGCCATCTTGGGGCCATGCTGAGGCGAGGCCTCGAACAATTATCGGAAGCGAGAAGGCGAGACGTGACAGATCATTGGTTTTCCATACGTGTTTGAAGGATGTTGGCCTCTTGGGGGGGTCTTGATGGGGGTTCCAAGAGCACTTGGAACCGTCTTGTGGCACTCGTCGGGCCTCTTGGATGTATGCTGGAAGATATCGTGAATCATCGCCGGCCATCTTGAGCCATCTTGGATGCCATCTTGAAGCATCGGAGGCTCTCTTGGAGCCATCTGGGGGCTCTTTGGGGTGATCTTGGGCTCCTCTTGGGGCTGTTTGGGGGGGGTCCTGTGGCCCTCTTGGGGCCCTCTTGGAGCCTTCTTGGGGGTCCCTTGGGAGCCCTGGGGGGCCCCGTGGGGCCACCTTGTAGTCCATCGAGCGAAAGGGGAGTCCTGAATTTGTATCTCCACCTGGGACCAGCAAAATCGCCAAGATGGGCCCCAAACCTTAGTGATATCAGTGATTTGGGCATTCTCGCCGAAGTCATCTTGGACGCTCTAGCGCCCCGCGGCCCCTCTCAAATCGCCTCTTGGAGCCCTTTGGGGTTCTTTAGGGGGGATCTTGGGGTCCTCTTGGGGCTCTTTCGTTGGTCTTGTGGCCCTCTTGGGGCCCTCTTAGAGCCCTCTCAGGGGGTCCCTTCGGAGCCCTGGAGGGCCTCTTAGGGTCATCTCGGAGGCCATCCATCGATCAAAAGGGGTGCAGAATAATCGAGTGAAACAACCAACTCATCCCAGATGTCCAGTGGCTCCAGCTGGAAGTATTCGGCAACCTGGAACCACGAGTCGCACCTCTCCAGCCAGTCGTCGTCTTCATCAAGCCACCGCCTGCTGTCCACAGCGCGGATGCGCGTGTACTGGATGACGCGGCCCTTGCTCCGCCTGATCGACAGGCCCGAGTTGCCAACTCCGTCGTTCAAGACACTCCACGAACACTCGAGATCGTTGTCGATCATGTGGGTCAGCTGCAACTGCCCAGAAGCAACACCCTTACCATCCTCCCCGCTCTTCGGAGACGTCAAATGGATGTTCGCGTCAGGCATGCCCATCTCGAGCAAGCCTGTACTCTGGATCAGCCTGGCGACCCACGCCTCTACCCTGCCCAGGCGGGCATGGTGCGAGTACCACGTGCCCCGCGTCGTGCGACTGATGGAGTGCATGTCTTGCAGGCCGTACTCAGCCGCAAAGAGCACAACGAACGCCCAGAAGCCATCCTCGACAGCCGTGTACATCTTGCTGCCTTCAACCCGCTCATCGTCGTTCCGCTTGGACGCGACGTCGCCCACATCGATGGCCACAACAGGCCGGGTGGGCTGTGCAGCACCACCTGGTGCCGAGGCGGGCTGTGCAGCACCGCTGAAAGCCTCACTCCGCCAACCTCGGGACATGAGCGTGGGCGGCTGTGTGGAAGGGCCTCCGGACTTGAGCCGACATGGTTACGGAAGGCACTGCTTGCGTGGGCTCTGGTCCGGTCATTGAGGCTAGCTCGGCATCTGTCGCACATTGTTTTTGGTATGCCTTTCCTTTGCTTTGCTTTGCTTTGCTTGTGCTTTGCTTTGCTGTCGCTGCTGTTGCTTTGCCATTGCTTTGCTGCTGTGCTATGCTATGCTATGCTGCGCTGTGCTATGCTGTGCTGCGCTGTGCTGCGCTATACTATGCTATGCTATGCTATGTTATGCTGCGCTATGCTATGCTATGCTGGGCTATGCTATGATATGTTGTGCTGCGCTATGCTGTGTTATGCTATGCTATGTTGTGCTCTGCTATTCTAAAGCTCGGCGGAGCTAGGATGAAGCTAAGCTAATCTAAGATGAAATAAGCTAAGCTAAGATGAGATAGGCAACGCTAAGCTAAGGGAGCGTAGCTGGGGGAACCGCGGAGCGGATGCCGGGGGAACCGCCGGCACCATCCACTGCCTGGCCCCTTTAAGCTTAGAGAGTAAGAACCCTCTAGGCAGAGCCTAGGTAGGGAACAACTCCTCCTCCTCCTCCTCCTCCTCCTCCTCCTCCTCCTCCTCCTCCTCCTCTTCCTCCTCCTCCTCCCCCCGCCCCCCCCTCACCCCTCATCCCTCGTCTTCCTTCCCCCCCCCCCCAATCCTGGGGGCGCACGGTCCGCCTCGTCGGGCCACCTGCAGGTCAGAGCGGAGCAGGCTGGAGGCGCCTTGCCGGGAGGCGCGCGCGAGGGGAGGAGGGAAAAGGGTGGAGAGCGGGCAAGGAGGAACGATGGAGGGGGGAGGATGGACAAGAAGGATGAACAAGGAAGGAAACGGGGGAGGAACGAAGGGAGAGGAACAGGAGGAGCAGGAGGAGGAGGAGGAGGAGGAGGAGGAGGAGGAGGAAGAGGAGGAGGAGGAGGAGGAGGAGGAGGAGAAAAAGGATATGGAGAAGGATGGCTGCCCCACCCACGCATCCGCTACGACGACACAGCAGAGCACGAGCTGTCTGGGACGACCCCAGCAAACACCAGCAGGCAGCCAGCAGGCAGCGACCTCCCACGCCTACCTCCACGAGGACCCGAGCAGAGTTCAACCCCACACTACAAATCCCGCCTCGCCTACACCGCGCCTACATCCACCTCGGCTACCCCGGGGGCTCCTCCGGGAGGGGCGAGCCGAGGTGGGCCTCAGCCCCCCTTCAACAAGGGCCCCCCAAGGGGGGGGGCTGGGACTCACACCCGGGCCACATCCGCATGAACACGATCGACACCACAGACAGTCGGGTGGCGTGATGTGTTTGGCGTGTGTGTGTGTGTGTGTGTGTGTGTTTGTGTGTGTGGTGCTTGTTGTTTGGTGCGTGGTGCTTGTCGCGTCGCGTTTGGTGTGTGGTGTTTTCGGTGTGGTGTTTGGTGTGTGGTGCGGGTGGTGGTGTTGCACGTGATGTAGTGCTTGTTGTTTGATGGGTGGTGTTTGATGAGTGGTGTTTGTTCTGTGGTGCTTGGTGTGCGTGTGGTGTTTGGTGTGCCACGTGCGTTTTTTGTTAATGGTATTTTCTTGTGTGCTGGTTGGTGCTTGTCGTTTTGTGCGTGTTGCTTTGTATTTGGCGATACGTGTGTGTGTGGTGCATGGGTTTTAGTATTTCCCTACCTAGGCTCTGCCTAGAAGGGTTCTTACTCGCTTGGCTTTGAAGGGGCCGGGCAGTGCAAACCGCCCCGGGCGGTTCCCCCAGTCCCCTGGGAGCCAAGCGACAGCAACAGCAAAGGTAAAAGCAAACGCGCGGTTCCCCCAGTTGCGTTCCCTGGGTGCCAAGCAAAAGCAACAACAAAGGCAGACGTGAAGGCAAAAGCGAGTGCAAAGCAAAAGCATAGCATAGCATAGCACAGCATAGCATACCGCAGCATAGCATAGCGCAGCATAGCATCGCATAGCATAGCCTAGCATAGCCTAGCCTAGCCCAGCATAGTATTGCGCAGCGTAGCATAGCATAGCAGGGCAGAGCAGAGCAGAGCATAGCATAGCATAGCATAGCGCAGCACCGCATCCACTATTGTTGCTGCTATATATATATATATATATATATGTATACACACTTATGTGTGTGTGCGCGCACGTACGTTCCATGCATATTGTCCGTCTGTGGGCCATCTTGAGCCTTTAGTGGGGCAGCTTGAGCCCTTAGAATCCATGAAGGTTTCGCACATAGCACCGGCCGTGAGATATGTAACCCGACGTATTAGCGCATGTCCTAAATGTTTTTCTTCATATGCATATATATACATATATATATATGTGTATATATATACATAACACCCATGTGGAATGCTGCATGTGTGTGTGCGTGTGTGTGTGCATGTGTTTGTTCAGCACCGCGTCGTAATGCCGTTCAACCATAGACGCACGCGACGTAAAAAGCGGCGCATATCAACCATGCGCATTGCCACCAACAGTCTCTCACCAGCGGCACCGGCGACTGATGACTCGATGTCACTCGGATTCACAGAGAGCAAGGCCAGTGCTGCACAGCCTGGCCCACCGCGAGTCACGGATGTTTTTCAACCTGGCTCAGCAGCAGCATCCGCGCCAGCACCAGTACCAGGAGAAGTCGTCGACACCACCACCACGGGTCCTAGTGTTGCACAACTTGGACCAGGCAGAACGGTGCAGCACTTGTGCACGAAGTACCAGATCACCGCGTTCCGACGACCCTTCTACTTGCTCATGAGTATGAAACTATTCCCGGTTCAGTTGGGTGACCACGCGGAACTCTTGTTGCGAACGTCCTGGTCGACAGCCTGGGGTGGAGGCGAAGTCATCAACGCCTTGCTCTGTTAGCGGGGAGCGCATCGTGCCAGAGAGCGCTGTTGATATTCGGAGGAACGCTTGGGGTCAGTGCTACTACCAAAGCTGCAGAGCGAATGAGGTGTTTGCTTGCATTCTGCATCACAGCGAGTTCGGTGACCGCCTCATGCAAATCGGCGGCGATCACTTCCCTGCTCAAATGCGACGGCCGACTGTTGACTTGCAGCGTTTCTGTTACAAGATCTGCGAGTTGCGGAAGGGGACCCAGTCGCGGCGAACTGTGTCTTACTGGTTATTCGACGCATTCCCTGCGCGCCAAGAGTGGCTCGGGCGACTCCACGACAGCGGGGAGGTTGTGGTCACCCACTCTGGTGCAACCGCATATTCCAGCGCCGATGATGCCCGCCAATGCTCAACAGCTTGTTGCGCCGATCTGGGAGTTGCTGCTGCTGTACAGTTTCGGAGGATCGTTCGGTGTAGCAGGTGTTGCACAACCTTGCTCAATGCCAAGTCGCGCGGTGTAGGCCGAGCCCGGAACATTCTCAAACACGCCCGGTAAACGAATGCAGCAACGTGCGTGTGTGCGTGGATGTCTGGGCGCAGGCAAAGCAAAAGCAGAACCAAGTCAAAGCAAACACAACAGCAAAGCAAGAGCAAGAGCAAACGCAAAAGCAAATGCAAGAGCAAAAGTACAGGCAAAGGCAACAACAAAAGGCAAGAGCAAAACCAACGCAATGCGAAGCAAAAGCAAAGCCAATGCGAACGTGTAGATGTAGATGTAGGTGTAGGTGTAGATGTGGATGTAGGTGCACATGTAAATATAGTTGTGGATGTAGGTGTATATGTAGGTGTAGATGTAGATGTAGATGTGTATATCGCTGTTGATGTAGATGTAGATGCAGGCGTAGATGTAGGTGTAGCTGTAGGTGTATATGTAGATGTATGTCTAGATTTAGATGTAAGTGACGCTGTATATGTAGGTGTAGATATAGATGTACATGTAAAGAACTCCCCAGTGCCCCGCCCTCATCTCCGTGCCTGCTTGATCTTGCTGTTGTCTCGACGACTTGCTGCCTGCTTCTGCTGCTGCTTCACTTGCGGCGTGGCGTCTGCGGTTCTTGCGCTACTACTACTACTACTACTACTACTACTACTACTACTACTACTACTACGTACTACTACTACTACTACTACTACTACTACTACTACTACTACTACTACTACTACGACTACTACGACTACTACTACTACTACTACTACTACTACTACTACTACTTACTACTACTACTACTACTACGACTACTACTAGTACTACTAGTACTAGTATTACTAACTACTACTACGACGACTACTACTACTACTACTACTACTACTACTACTACTACTACTACTACTACTACTACTACTACTACTACTACTACTACTACTACTACTACTACTACTACTACTACTACTACTACTACTACCGCTACTGCTACAACTACGACGATGCGGAGAAAGAAGAGGACGGCGTTTACCGCTCCAACTAACGATTCTTTTCTAGAGGCTCCAACGACTAAGGTAGGGTCGCACTTGGGTAATTCGCATTTTGTGTTCGGTGCGTGGCGTGCGGCGTTCGGTGCGCGGCGCTGGGAGGCGGGCGCCTAGGGCGGGAAGCCCCCGCCGGGGATCGCCGGGGAAGTTCCACCTGGAAGCCGGCCCTTTCATCAGGGAGCCAATCTTTCCATTGGGGAGCCACTTTGTTCCCCCCCCCCCCCCCCTCGCCGCCCTCGCGCGTCGCCCCTGCCCCCGTCGCTCCTCGCCCCTCCCGAGCTGCCTCGCCGCCCTCTTGGGGCCCCCGCCCCTGCGGTCGGAGCGAGCGTCTTCGGCGGCGCCCTCGAGAGAAAGAGGATCTAAATACATATATATATATATATATATATATATATATATATATATATCTAGAGAGAGAGAGAGAGAGAGAGAGAGAGAAAAAGAGAGAGAGAGAGAGAGAGAGAGAGAGAGAGAGAGAGAGAGAGAGAGAGGGAGAGAGAGAGTGAGAGAGAGAGAGAGAGAAAGAGAGAAAGAGAGAAAGAGAGACAAAGAAAGAAATAAATACATACAGAAAGAAAGAAAGATAAACGGAAAAAGAAAGAGAGATATATATATATATATATATATAGAGAGAGAGAGAGAGAGAGAGAGAGAGAGAGAAAGAAAGAAAGAGAGAGAGAGAGAGAGAAACAACAAAAAAAACAAAAAACATTACCCTGGCGACGCCCCCCCCGCGCAAACGCGGGGCGCAAATAGTTTAGGATACTTGATAAAGGGGGGCGATGGCGGAACGAGGGTTACATATGTCTGCAGACGGAACCCGGGAGACTCGCAGGACACTGGCTACAGGACAAGGACTAGATAAAGTTGGTTAGTTACAATCCCTGAGCAACCCTAGCCATTTCGAAAACGGCGACAGTTTCGCAGATCGCAGCCCCCCAGGGATGGCGAGGTCTAATTTGGGTCCGCGCGTGGCGTCACTGTGCTGGGCCCCCCAGCAGGCCTCGAAAGTGGCGACGGTTTCGCAGATCGCAGCCCCCCAGGGATGGCGAGGTCTAAGTTGGGTCCGCGCGTGGCGTCACTGTGCCGGGTCCCCCAGCAGGCCTCGAAAGTGGCGACGGTTTCGCAGATCGCAGCCCCCCAGGGATGGCGAGGTCTAATTTGAATCCGCCCGTGGCGTCAATGTGCTGGGCCCCCCAGCAGGCCTCGAAAGTGGCGACAGTTTCACAGATCGCAGCCCCCCAGGGACGGCGAGGTCTACTTTGAATCCGCCCGTGACGTCCATGTGCTGGGCCCCCCAGCAGGCTTCGAAAATGGCGACAGTTTCGCAGATCGCAGCCCCCCAGGGATGGCGAGGTCTAATTTGGGTCCGCGCGTGGCGTCATTGTGCTGGGCCCCCCAGCA